GGTCGCCGCGGCCGCCGCCGCCGCCGTTTCGGGGGGCGCCACCCCCGGGGTTGTCGTTGGGCTTTCCCTCCTGGTTGGGGGTCCTCCCTCCCCCGGGGTGTTGTTGTTCTGCCGTTCTGCCTCCCCCGTTGCTCCCGTCTGCGGGGCCCCCGGGTGTTGCCGGCCTCCCGGCTTCGGTTGGGGTCGTTGCTGGGGTTGCTGCTGCTGCTGCTGCTGCTGCTGCTGTTGTGGCCGCCGCGTCTCCCTTCTTCTTTTTTTGGTTGGGGTTTTGGGGGTTCTCCGGGGCGGCTGGTTTGTGGGTGGTGGGGGGATGTTTGGGGGTTGGGGGGGGGGGGGTTTACTCCATAGTATGTACCACGTGTCTCTGCCGCTTTGCTGCTGTTGCGTTTGTAGCACTTCTCGACACCAGCTTGTCGCGTTGTTTTACTACGCCGGTAACCCGTGGCAAATCAAGCGACCGCCGAACCCTACCAGCCGGCCGCGCCCGCCCCTAGAGAAAACCGCGAAGTGATGTCGGCGAAAGCAACGCGGTAGCATGGCCCCGCTCAACGGTGGTTCCTCATCTGTTCCTCTAGATGAGAAGTTGATTTTGGCAAGAAAGCAGCGCATGGGGGGCATGCATGCGCGCATTTTTTCGACCCGCTTAAAGAAGGAAAAATCGACACGTTGGTTTACAGCCAGCCGGTTATCTAGCGCACGGGAGGAAGCCATCGAGTAAAGAACCACACGACACCACGCACGTGTACATACACACAAAGAACGCGAACACACACAACCTACGCCGCAATCAACACACGCCGTGGCGATCTCATCCGTGAATGAATGCATACCCAACACACACAAGAAAAAAAAAAAAAAAACACACACACACTCGTTAGAACCCTTTCCCTTTGACCAAAAATTGTTGGCGTTTCTAATCCCGTTACAAGACTGACGTATTTTCATTGGTCAACCGGTTAGCGCGGTCGATGCTAACTAAGAAGAAAAAAAAACACACACACACACACACCAACACACAACATACCTGTGGCAGCCGAACATGGCGTCCGAGACCCCCACGCCCCCCGGGCGCCTGTCGAACACCAGGATGCGCTGCGGCTGCGGGCGGCTGTGGTGGGGCCTGGCGTGCTCGCAGTCCACGTCGGCCGCGTCGCACAGGAGGAAGAGCGGCACCACGGCGAGGAGGGCGTGCCCAACCGCGTGGATCCCGCCCTTGAGATGATTGTTTTTTTTTTCGTTTAGTTTGTCGATATTTATTGACGCACACACGCCACGCGTCACGCAGCGCAGAGAGCGAGCGAGTGCGGCGTGCGACGAATGCGGACAACGAAGAAGTAAAACGTTACACAGAGGGAAAGATGATGTAGAAGAGCAGCTACAGGACAAGTATACCAGAACGCGTAGTTTCTGTGTGAAGAGAGCAAACCACAACGACAGCAGCAACAACACAACAGCAGCAGTGCCTGCATGCAGAGAAGGAACAAACAATAAACAGATTCAAGACCCCAACAGGACCGCCGATCGTCAATGAGACCCGGACCAGTTTGCACATTGACAGTGCCATAGATACCATAATATTACGACTATAATGTTGAAACTCGCTCCACTGCTGTCCGCATATCTACAACAATACAATACCGAAACAGCTCTGTGTCTGCCTGCCTCTGTTTGCCTCCTTCTCTCTCTCCGTCTCTGCCCCTCTCTCTCAAACGCACACATCATACGGGGGCATCCCGCGAACAAATCAGAAATTTCACGTTTTTTCTCCTCCTCCTCCTCCTCCTCCTCCTCCTCCTCCTCCTCCTCCTCTTATCATCTCCTTGCCACAGGCCATCCGGTTATAAGCCCAACCGATGCTCCTTACAAAGAACCCACGCACACACACGCGCGCACACCTCCAAGTCCAGACCCTCCTCTTCGACTCTCCGCCTCGCCGTCTCGCCCACGTCCAGCCAGAAGGCGCGGGTGGCGTACTGTAGAGGCGGGAGGGAGCACTCCCCGCGCTCCAGGACCCTCCCGGTGCCCATCTGCTTCTTCACGAAGCCGTACACGGTGCACACAACATTCACGCAGCCCCTGTGATCGGATCGAAGTGGGTTGGGTTGGGTTGGGTTGGGTTGGGTTGGGCTGAGCCGGGCTGGACAAGATGGCGGTACCCACGGGCAGACCAACCAATAACCACGCGCCGGGCTGAATGTTAGGAGATAACGCAAACGAGATGTATACCGCGTATTGGGAATCAACGCCCGCGAGAGCGAAAAAAAAGAAAGCCGGCAAGCCGAGAGGTACCAACGCCGGGTTACGGAATGGTCACATGCCACCCACCCAGCCGACAACGAGCGCTCAAACGAAACCACAAGCTAACAACCAATGGGGCGGGAGGGGGGCAGGAGACGGACGAGACGGCGAGGGAAGTAAGCAAACGAGAAGAGACGGACCGAGTGGCACGATGCGTGCCGGATTGAATTTCTTTTAGCTAATTCCCCCCCCCCAACGCTGCACCATTGCACCAACCCCCCAGTAGTGATGACGTACCATTACAATGTATCGCTGGTTGGTGGCCATGTTTGCGTGTTTGCTTGTTCGTTAGTGGCCTCTCCATCGTGTGCCTGTTTCTGCCTCTTATTTCTTGTTATTTTCGGCCTGGTCCCTTTTTGTCCTCGCTCTTTTTCGTTTTATTTTCGTTTTATTTTCGTTTTATTTTCTCTTTTTCTTACTGTTTCCTTTTTATTTTATTTTTTCTCTTTTTTCTCTTTTTCTCTCTATTTTTTCTCTCTTTTTCTGTGCCAGATGGCCTTGTCTCTGCTTGCGTTGTGAAGTACCAAGATTGAACCAAGGGGGTGTGCCTCTTTCTCTCCGGCCCATGATAGTGACTCCTAGTCTCAGTTGATACCTCGCATAGAGCGCAGAGGGGGTGGAGGATTCCAGAATATCTGTCGTTGATTTCTATTGACTTGCGGACCCCTCGGGGCCAGTTTATTTGAGTGTACCTTTTTAGGGTAAGTTAACCTGTGACCACGGGAATCGACCGCGTCGAGTGTTGGATCAGTACGGACATACGAAGGTACTGGGTAGAGAGAGATCGGAACGGTTTTTTATGTGAAGACAACAACAACAACAACAACAACAACAACCCACATCCATAAACTTCGGCGGGTAGATACCGACAAACAAAAGAGCGAGCGATCTCTACTGAACATTTGTCAGCTCGCACGGAATCACACAGCAGTAGCTGAGGAGGTTTTCCCGCAAACTAAGGAAAGAACGAGAGGGAAATCAATCGTTCCGCCACGGAACTCTCAAGAGTACGTATGCCCACTGATGAGACCCGATTTGCGCGGCCGATGCTCATCAAAAAAATAAACCACGGTTTGACACACACACACATGAGTTCGGAGGGCAAAAAAAAAAAAGCGTCCTCTCTCTCTCTCTCTCTCTCTCTCTCTCTCTCTCTCTCTCTCTCTCTCTCTCTATCTATCTCCCTCCCTCTCTCTTTCTCTTTTCTCACGTGTGAGCATGCTTGTCCTCGCTGACCTCCAGCCGCTTGGTCACGTTGACCTCCACGTTGTTGCGCGCGGCGGTGTAGTAGTTCACCTTCACGGGGGTGGTGTGCGCCACGTGCGCCCCGAGATCCAGCCTCGTCACCAGGTACTGCCGCGCCTTCAGAATTAAGAAAAAATAAATACACACACAGAAAGACTACCCATTCGAGATATACCCACAGTCGAACGGGATTTTTTTTTTTTGTTTTGGCGTTGTTTCAACTATTGGTGCGATTCTTTCATCATCGTGTTCGTCGTCCCCATATTAGTTGCATGCAGATGCTTGTCCCATCAGATGCCACCTTTGTAATATTCTACTGGTATTAAATATGACATTATATACGTGTGATAAAAAAACGATACACAGTAATATAATAACACTGCGTAAGAGCTTGTATTAACAGACATCCCAATTATGTACTGTGAACTGCTGTGAACACCTTTTATACCTTGCGCCCAGCCCAAAGGAGAACGGGAAGAAGCTACTTCTTCTTCTTCTTCTTCTCCTTTTTCACGATAAGATAATCCATTCTATTGCACTCTTCTGACCTGGTGCAGGTAGATGGCCCCCTGGAACAGCGAGAAAAAGGACCTGCTGTACTCCACGCTGTCGTACGGCTCGCCCCCCTTCGAGTCGTCCACCACCTTGAAACTACGAGATATCGCGAGAAGGGGGATAGATGATGGGGGGGGGGCAGGGGGCGTACATATGTTTTGCATGCCTTAAAGCTTTCGACCACGGGCCACGCGTCCTCGAGAAGACGACGGAGTAGTGTGCGCACAGGACCGATCACCGGTGGGTGGGGGGGGAAGGTGAAAACGAGCGTCGAAAACACAAGCACTCGTCAGTGCGGGGATTGGGCTCTTTTACCCCTGAAACGCCATGCATGGTGGAAAGAGAAGCCACCGCAGTGCCGTCCCCCACCCCCACGTGCGTGGGGGGGGGCTCTACCTCCAAACCAGCGCGACAAACATGTGGTACACAGCAGAATGTACAGTAAAACGACCGACTGCATCTATCCGTCCATGTCTACATCTATCCGTCCACGCCCAAACGTCACCACGAAAGGAGAACAAAGAACAAGGCCGGCAGGCAGGCAGGCAGGCAGGCACCACACTCACGCGACAGGGTCGATCATGCGCCAGCCCGATCCTGCGGCAGGGCGGGGGGGTCAAGCCCCGGGTTAGCCTTCCAGCCAAGGTTGCCCGCGGCCCTCACGAGCCTGGGAAAGCCGTCGCCATCGTCGGCCAGCGTGTCGATCACCTTTGTGGGGGTGGGTGGGTGGACGGATGGACGGATGGTAAACATAGGTCGTACGCCCAATCGTCGCCACAAGAATGTGTACGTGTGCATGGGTAAGGTAGCAATGGCGAGAACACGGTGGCTGGGGGGGGAG